TTTTTTTTTTTTTTTTTTTTTTTTTTTTTTTTTTTTTTTTTTTTTTTTTTTTTTTTTTTTTTTTGCGTTACAAATAGGCTATGAATTAAGAGGAGGAAATTAGAAAAGCTCAAAAAGGCCATGAATTAGGAGGAGGAAACTTCAAATTTTTTGAAATCAGATCAACAATTTTGATGAAGAAACCAGCTTCATTTGCGTTCGTAGTAGAGATGGAGCCTGAGACTTGTTAAGAAAACCCCTAACTCGCAGGTTGATCATGTATTGATCTAGACAAACAGAAGATATTAATAAAATAACTCGTACAACTGGTATTAAAGAAAAGCCAGTTGTACTAATTAAGGAAAAAAAAAATTATAAATGGAATATGAAAAGACAGACATATGAGGCAGAAATATGAAAAGGAGTGGGTAGGTCTGCCACCTACCCAAAATCTTCTCTTTAAATCTTGTTGGTGAAAGGCCAATAAATTTGAGGGAGGGGTTGAACCAAAATGTTTTTGAAATAAGAAGGAAAAAGAAAAGGAAACATTGGTAAGAGTCGAAGAAGCTGAAGAAGGAAAGGAAGGTCGCTGGAAGGAAGGAGCTGAACGTTGGATTTAACGAACCATTGGACTCGACCCGACCCAATTAGCAGATTCTGATCCACTACCCAAAACTAGGCTCAAAGGTATGTATGACCCTCGGTTTAGAGGCCAATGCTCGTAAATTTGGACTATTTTTAACTCGAATCCTACTCAACTTCTATAGTTTTGATATATTTTCTCAATGTAGGACCTAATTGTAGATCTTTGAACGAATTGGAAATTTGTTGAAGACCCGAAACAAGCTCGAAAAGTCTACGACAGTTAAGTAACCGCATGGAGCAAGTTCTAAGAAATGCTTGTAGGAATCGGTTTGGAGTATGGGCAAATGATCTAGTATTATACTTAGGAGTTTGGTTAACATCAGTTTTATTTATAGGATGTAGCTCCCAAAGAAACGTGTTTTGATGTATGCATGTCTAACACATGTCTATATAAGAGACTCGACCTAAAATGAAATGGTGGTGCTTGACAGTTTGTCTAAGAAGAGATCCTACAAAATTAGGCCTAAAGCTAAAGGCCTTAATGAAGTTGGCTAACTAGCATAGGTAAATATTTCTTTTTATTTCATCTGTAAAAACTGATTTGAAAACATAGCCCCACCATTTTAAGCTTACCATCATTGTGAGTAGTTGAAAAATAGAGAAAAGCTGAGTCATACACAAGTTTGAGAGAACGAGGGGACACGAGCGTCGAAGACAAGTTCAAAAAGGGTTGAATTGGGCCCAAGGCCATAACCTTTGAAGTTGGGATTTTGATATGAGTTTTGGCAGGCTAATATGAATCCAGCAACCGATCATTTGCATGTACCTGAAGAACAATTACAAGAAGCTATGCAAAAAAGATCTAAATATCAAATCAAGAAAAGAATGAAGTGGCAATAAATATTAGTTGACATTGTAAAGTGATTAGAAGACATTGTGTCTTTGGTAGTTGAACTACCAATAATGACTATTTATGTCATGTCTTATTTTCTGGCCGTTGTATTTAATAGATTTTATTTGTAGTTTCTAGTTCATAGTTGAACTACATTAGGTTCGAATTATCTTTTTGGTCTATTCAAAGCCATGTAAAATTCAAGTATGAAATATGGTGGAATACAAAAACCTTGTGATTGAAACCCTTTGGATGTTATGTTTCTTTTTCAAACCTTGCTTTAGGTTTGATGTTAAAATCAATTCATTAGATTAGTCACGATCAAGCTAATTCTTGAGTGAGTCGTCTTGGGATCTAAGAGTGACCAATGTAGATTCCAAGTTCGATCTAGAGTTATTCATCCTTGTAACCCGCTCTTGGTTGGAATCATTCGTTAAATTAGTTTTCTTTGTGAAAGTTTGCAAGGATACTAAAAAGACCTCTAGCTTTGTAAAATCTAACATTTTTGGCGCTTATCATATGCTACTTGGGAGTTAAGTTTGTCTATATGAAACATGAAAGCTTAACAAATTTGGTGTCAATAGGATACTCAATGAATGCTGCACGGGGACGTATGACTACTCGCCAAAATGATGTCTACTCGATATAAATTGGATATGCCTCAACATACTATAGGGGAAGGCATGGTACCAGCTCTCCACCACCCATGGGCCCTGTGCTCTAAGCGAGCTACCTGTGGCACATACGTGTGTCATAGTAAAG